AGCAAAATAAAAACACTTCACAAAGTAAATAAATGTACAAATGCATTTTTTTATATATTTTAAATCAAAATGATGTAACATATATAGGATGAATATGATTACTATTACATATTATCAGACATGAAGTGGTTTCTTCTTTTTTACTGGTTACCCTTACAAACACACATACAGTAAGATACACAAAAATAAACAGTATAACCAAATCAACATTGATGTCTTCTGTGAATTCAACAAGAAATTATATAATCCTGGTGCCGACTTAAACATATTTACATTATCTGATCATTAGCGTAGCTATTCAAGTTTTGCACACACACACACACACTACACTACACAAACATATAGGAAATGACACACACACACACATTGTGCCAGTTATTATAAGAATATTTTTCAGTAAAATAACGTGAAATAAAACATACGATGCCACCTCTTCTTACGACATACATTTTGTAATGTATATATAGGGAGGGAGAGAGAGAGACGAGTGAATAATCATTTACTTTCGGGCAAATATCTCGAAGAGAAACTAATAACACAGAGTTAATATACATACATTTTTAATGGATTCTGTTAAAATGTTTTTTTCTTTTCTTTCACAAACAAATAGTTAAATAATCTGAAATAACTTCAATTCATACATACTGACATTAATTTTTGGGACCGTAGTAAGTCAGTCTATTTTTCGTGTACATCCTGTACATCCTGTCAGTATCGTCTTGATATTCCCATTAAGTCATGAATATTCGGAGCAGAGATGTATGGTGTTTAGGAGTGGAATGTAAGAGATACATGTCGTTCTGTTCGGTACTCGCCAACTGAACCCCAGACCAAATATCAATTTTCTAAGGAATAACTCTTGTTAATGAGTTCCATTTGAAACGGAACATAAGTCAAGCAAAGTTTCTTTCCAACTACCACTGACCAGCTATAACAGTTCACTCTACATAATCTGATAAAAACTGTATAAACTTAAATCAATCGACATTTGTACTAAATCCTATATTGTATATTGACTGACTTACTCAGACAGTCGACCAATATTTTTTTCCTGTACAGAATATGTGAAAATTAGTGAATTTTAAAGTTTACGTAGTTGGACTCCATAGTTATGTGAGCTAATCAGTAATCAACTCTAGAACATTTCTGAGGTTTGGTCTGTGGTGTAAACTAGGCGATTCAACAATCTCCACAATCCTCTTATACTGACTAGTGACTAATTTCAAGATGTAATTTCCATAGTTCCTATAAGGAATGTAGGTCGTTAATGTTCAGAGATGTCTGATGCGATGCAATATCTCAATGTCACGAACTAATTAAAGTTAATAATATCAACCACTAGATATCAACTCATTAGTTTAATGATCAAGTGCTCTTCGCGAAAAATTGAAGTTCTATGGTTTAATCCCCTGTGAAGTTCTGTGTATATACTGTTGTAGATTCTCATACTATGATGAGTCAACTAACTATTGCTCCTTAGTTTTTGAAAAATTGTCTAACAAAAGTCAACTTATAACTCAAATATAGCATTTTGTCTTCAGTTAAAAAAAAATTGAAAGAACCAATATCAATCCTTATTGTAGATTGTAGTTGTACATAGTTCAAGTCATCGATACCACATATCCCACCCACTCAACTTTGATTCTATACTCTTGAAATGACCTTGTACTATTTGTCACTACTATATTTAAATATTACAAGATAATCATCATCAAGGGATAATCATGTACTACATACAATGACCTATGTTATATATCTAAAAATAGAATCATGATAGCATACACAATCATCATCTCAAATTATATCATTCTTTTACATTGAATTTTTCAAGTAAAGTCACGTTGATATTTTTCAACCTTGACCTACCTTTCTTTCTTTCTTCTTTCTGTTTTTTTCTCTTTCTATCTAAATATCAATGTCAATAGGTCAACCATGTAGCAAGATATACGTTGACAACAAAGTCTAATCTAGTAATATTCTCCATATTACTATAACTCTTTTATTACACATATATTTATTTGTTCTTTGTTACTTAAGTTATAATCAATAAAATAGGTAATCACGTGGTTTAGAAACATGACAAAGCATGCATTCATTTGTATCTATAGATGTATGTATATCTAATTTCTTTATGATTGATATGTGAATTAGTAAATTATATATTATAGTATGGCTGCTTTATAATGAATAGGTGGGGTTAACAACGAATATATAAGTTCAAATGTTGATTTACATAGCTCTTAATACCAACAATAAACTTAAACATAAAAAACGGATCTTCACTGATAAAACTTATTGTATATCGCACTCTTAGAACTAAATATTAACTTGCTCATTAGTCAGTTCAATTATTTAAATGTGTATATGTATGTATTCGGATTATGAAGACATTCACATCTGAGGAAAATCACGGAATACAATGGACAACTCATAATCAACTAGACGATTTGGACTTCGTAGATGACCTAGTACTCCTATCTCATACACACCAATAAATCCAGGTCAAGCCAATCAGTGTAGCACCAGTCTCTTTAGCAGTAGGCCTCAACATATACAATGGAAAAACCAAGGTCCTCACATACAATATAGAGAACACAAACCCAATCGCATTTGATGCAGAAACTCTGGAAGATGTGGAAACTATCACGTACCTGGTCAGCATCATCAATGAACAAGGAGGGTCTGATGTAGACGTAAAGGCGAGAATTGGAAAAGCAACGTCAGCACTCCTACAACTGAAGAACATAATGAAGACAAAACAACGGTTAGACAACATCAAAGTCAGAATTTTCAACACCAATTTTAAAACAATTCGACTGTAAGGAGTCGAAACTTGGTGAACTAACACAACCATCATAAAAAATGTACAAAGTATTTAAAGCAATTATCTACGCATGATACTTTAGAATCGTTGGACGGATAACATCAGTAACAACATACTATGGAAGAGAACAAACCAATCTCCAATTGAAGAGGACATTAAGAAAATACGTTGGAGATGGATAAGATATACACTATGGAAACCACCAAACTCCATCATGAAGCAAAAACTAACTAGGAATCCTGATAGTAAAAAGAAAAGAGACAGATCAAAAGATACAATGTGTCGGGAATTGGAGGTAGACATCAAAATAATGAATAGTACTTGGCAACATGAGAGAACTGTCCGGGACAGAGTTGCATGAAGAATGCTAGTGGGCAGCCTATTTTCCTACACGAGGGGTAACAGGTGTAAGTATGTATGCATATATTCTGTGCTCCTAAACATTATAGACAACCCGATTTAATTTTACTTCAAGATACCACAATTGTATTTATTCTTTTATATCAAAGCAACCGATCCCCCCCCACACACATCTATAAATATTCACTTCGTCTATTTATGCTGAATAATTTAATTAGCCAATAGGATTTTAGTTCATATGTCTGTCCATATTATCAAATAAATTCATGTTTGTCTTGACAACACACATTTCCCTTGTCATCAATATTATTATCATAATTATATCATGTCCATAAAAAGAATACTGGTTATTATTATCACTATGACTTTGATAATACAATACATAAAGAAAAAAAACCCAGAAAGATATTGATATAGATAAACACATGTACACGAACACACACATAAGGCATACATATATATCGTATATATGTATGTGTGTGTGTGTAAATATACAAGTAAAGGTATCAATGATTATCAAAATTCATAATTAAAACAACATTAATTTGATGTATTATCAATTTCAATAATCATTGTCATAATCTTTATTTTATCTCAAACCAATTAAGATAGGGAGAATCTATAATTAAGTGTTATCAAGAAGATATCTTCAACATCCCTCCATATAAACCATATTCCCACATATTTACACATACATAAATTGAAACATTCAACAATCTTAACTTGTCAAGTTATGTAATTACTTCGCTTTTTTAAAATTTATTTTAAGGATTTAGAAGAATGTTTTTATCGTAAATATTATTATTACTATTATAACCGGTATTATTTTATGCTCCATAGTTCATTTTCTAAACATATTCACTATACAGATTAAAATCATGAGTCAATTGAAGCTAGATCAACATGGAAAACCTGGAAGCACTAGACGGCCGTTTCATGGGATGCGCACTGTTGAGGAGTCCCACACTAGGACGAAATGACCGTTCAGTGCTTCTAGGTTTTCCATGGTAGTCTAGCTTCAATTGACTCATGATTTCAATCTGTGAAATTTCTAAAATCTCCACCAACCCCTTCTTGATAATATTCACTATAGTATGAACTGGAAAATGTCGAACTTATTACATATACAAACGATGAATCAAGAAATACAATTGAACGAATGATAAAAAGCAAAAGAAGATAAGAAATTCAAAGAAACAAACACCAGGATAAATACTAAAGATAATAAAAATCCAAATGATAAGAAAAAAAAATTATTCTCTAAGAAAAAAAAACTTAAATATGAACAAACAATAACAAAATCAAAACAATATTTGAGAGAATAATAATAATAAGAAGAAGAACAAGAAGAAATACATGTTATAACAAAACATTTTGTCTGTGTTCTTCAGAAAGATACGATATACAAGCTATTGCACCTACGTATGTACATACGCACATACACATATTCGCTTGTGTGCCATTTTAAGTACACCTCTATATATAACATACACACATGCAAGGGGTGAAAAATTGTTCTTGAATAACTTATGACACACATTTTGTTGTTTATCTTAGTGTGTACCGTATATGTACACGTGTGTCCATGTGTGTAAAGTGCAAGTTTTTATACACATACATAAAATATCATTATTTTCTTTCAAAGAATAATTTTTCTTATTAGCTGAAGGCGACAAATTAAAATCACTGGGATAAATATTCTGCCTATCTATCTCTCTATCTCTCTGTATATATATACCATACTAATATTACTAAACCATAGTGATTACAATGATGATATAATTGATAGGAATACTAATTATATTCTGATATAATAATGGATCATAATACAATATTTGCATTACAATCTACTCCATCTATTGTTAATATTAATAAATTTAGTCAATATAATTCAAGACTAATGAAAACTGGTTATAAACGGATTAGACCAATGTGTAATGAAATGAATTTGAAGAAAATGAATCGTATTGACAATGATGATAATGATGATGATGATGATGATTCTATGGAAGATCAAAGGATTTATATTCTAAATAATAATATACAACAGCAACATCATGAAGAACAAGATGTCATTACACATCAATCTGTACTACATCGAAGTTTAGCTGAATGTTTAAAACGTTTATGTAATGAAATACAAAATAATCATTTTCTACCAATTACAATGAATGCATCAATGAATACTGATACAATTCATTCAATTCACAATGATTATTCAACTTGTATAACTACACCTATCACTATTCCTACTACTAATATCAATACTACTAATACTAATATTTCAGCGTATCCAACTCAAGCATTAGACTTGAGTATAACATCGAATATTACATTAAATGAAAGTGTATCCAATGATTCATTGAATATAGCTAATACATTCAATAACAGTTTATCACCTTCACCAACATTATCTTCATACTATTCATTAAATAATAATAATAATAATAATAATAATAATAATAATAATAACTTTATTGCACTCACCTTATCTTCCTCATCTTCTGATTCATCTACTTCATTGATGTCATCATTTTCAAATAATACTATGCCACTACAAGAACAACAACAACAACAACAACAACAACAACAAAGAAACACAGTTAGTTTGACAAATATCACCAATCAAACTGATTCACTTATAAATAGTTTAAATTATGACACTTCTAATAATATTAATACTAATGTTAGTAGTAGTAATGATAATCATAGTCAACAACAAACTATTCACTACGATTCTCCGAATATTATTAATACCGGTAAGTATTGTGGTATTTCAAGTGTACTGGTAACTACTCATAGACTTAGGGAGAGTAATGATAATAATAATAATAACAATAATAATAATAAATTATTGAACATTCGACCAAACGATAATATTACTAGTAAGTAGTTCCACCATTATTATTATTATTATTATTATTATTATTATTATTATTATTATTATTATTATTATTATTAACATCATATCACTTTTTATTATATAAAAAGAATAAATAGTTTATTTTGGTGGCGTTTTGTCCTGTGTCCTATGTGGCTTATTTCGAATGCTTCCATCGTGCTTCTGAAGTGAAATGAACGGTGTGAACATCTCTATACATGACTAAAACCTTAATTTATCTAATTTGATTCCGTATATAATTCCAGTTGAATTGAAAGGGTAGCTTATTGGCCGAAGAGTTAAGTTAACTGGTTTGAGTCCAGCTTCATTGATATAGATTCTGGCAGATAGATCAGAATTTTGATGGTTTTACATGACAAATTGATATTCTTTAGACAATTACTGGAAAATGGAAAATATTTAACTGTTGTTTCATTCTAATATAGGACACCTACTGATAACGATGCCTAAAGGTCTTTGGCTAAATATCTAAGTAGTTGTTGTGGACGTACACTATTGAGGTGTCGTACTCTAGGATGAAAGGACTGTTTAATATTTCGCGGTTCACAATAGTCGTTCAACTAAAAGCATTTCATACTGCAAAGACGATAAATTCATTACTAATCACGTCCATACTAGAAATTGATGTATAAATTCAGATTTAATTTTACTTATATTTTTCATAAGATATTCTTGTCCGGAAACATCGAAATCCTTGTGCAAACCACACGACTCAATAGTTCTGATGAGTTGTTTTAAAAATTCTTTTTCACTTAGTACTGAATTGAAATTGAGCTGTTTATTCTTCAAGGGAATTTAAACAACATACATAATGCCAGGTTCAAACATTAATATATATATTTTAAAATTCTCGATTCTCCGTAAAATAGTTGCCCCCAAATCCTCCGGTATGGCCGAGGGTTGAATGAGTTAGCTCTCTTTCTCGAAATGCTCTCAAGTGGCCATACGTATACGGCCACTGTCAGTGATGTCCTACGCACCAGCATCACGGTTTTTTACGAAAGTGAGAGGAAAAAAGGCAAATGTTCAACGTTTTAATCGGGTTGTTGAACACGGAGAATCCACCTATGGGAATTGTAAAACCCTCATTCCAAACCAATGGTACGCATGGGCTCCAGGACCCTGAAGGAACAATTAGCGTGTGAACCAACTGTTGGTCACTGGCTACCATGGGATTGCATCTCCTAATGTTGCACCATGTGGATAAGACCTTTAGGTTAAAGGCCCCGTGTGTGGCCCCGTAAGAGAACCATCTGCTCTGGTCTGGGCATCCGGGTAGTATCACAGTCCACACACAAATCAAGTAACTTGCTTGGAGCACATGTATTCGATGTCCCTTTGTACCACTATTTATGTGTTCAAATGAATAAATAAATAAATAAATAAAATAGGTTCTTAATAATTGATAACATTTCTGGAAATTATTACCTATTTACATTTAAATTTGAAAATTGACTAGTTACAATTTAATATCAGAAAGGGGTTTCTGTGAAAATCTTTAATAATTTCAGTAGTTAAGATCATGAGCCAATTAAAGTCAAATCATCATGGAAAACCTCAAAGCATTGAACGGTTATTTCATCCTATTGTGAAACTCCTCAGCAATGCGCATCCAATTTATTATCTTTTTTTCATAGGATTAAAAAAAGCTGTGTGTATCATTATTGGTTAGGATTTGAAATGTCCTATAATTGCTACTCATTGGTGAATGACTTTGATTCCAAGGGCAAACATTAACACTAGGATGCAGGTACACCCAATATAATAATCTCAAATAAGATGAAACAATTGTCAACAGAAACAAATTGAAATTCAGTTCTGAATATCAAAAACAACCTCAAATTCTTTTCCACTTAAAATGAATGCAGTCAGTTAGTCATATGCAATGAAGAATCTGGTACGTAAACATTAATTAAAGTTTCCACATACCATTAGCACAACAAGGTGAAACTGACAGGATAAACCTAAGATTAGTAGAAGTGATTATTTTTATTATTTATTGAAACACATAAACATTGGTACAAGGAGACACCAAATACATATGCGCCACATAAATCATTCAATTTATGTGAGGGCTGTAATACTGCAAGAATGCCCAAACCGAAGCAAGCAGTTTTCTTAGGGGGCCACACACGGAGTCTTTGACCTAAACGTCTAATCCACAAGGCGATGGAGCAACGTCCCATGGTAGCCGGTCACCAACAATCGGTTCATACGCCATTTGTTCCTCTTGAATACTGGAGCCCATGTGAACCATTGGTTTGGAATGAGGGTTTTCCGACCCCTAGGTGGCCTCTTCACGTCCACCAACCATGTTAAAATGCCGGACATTCGCTTTTCGTCTCCTCAATTCCGTAAAAATATCCTCACCACAAGAAGGCAGTGGGTAGGACTTTTCTGACAGTAGCCGTATACGCGTGGTCATGTGAGAGCATTTCGAGATGGAAAGCTAACTCTCTGAACCCTCGGCTGCACCAGGACATCTGGGGGTGTACTTTGAGGGAGAGAACAGTATTAGTGATATTGAAAAAATTGGATATTGAAGATACGATTTGGAGGACAGAATATTGGATTAGTGGAATAAAACGTATCATTTAAAACCTCAAGAGTTAAGGGAAGACAAGCAGTGAATATATTTAAATCACTGTGAATGATTTTGTATCATACCATATACTGAAGAGAAGTTCAACACTTGGAACGAAGTGACATCCAGTGGTTTTTTAGTTATTTTTCGAAAAAGTGTTTCTAACCAATGTATTGTCATATTGAAAATTACTTTTAACAATAAAATAAAACTGTTTTTAATGGACACATTTCGTCTAAACACAATGCAGACCTCAATTAGTAGAATGCTAAAGTGATAACCTTACAACAGTAAAATATTAATGTAATAGAGAAGATGTAGAGCTTAAATGAATACTTTTGCTGTTGTTAAGCTCTATAAGCTAAATAGTATAATTGTAAAGCTATTTTTTGTCATCTTGAACTATATTATCCCTACTTACCTGATATAGAAGTGAGCTTTTTAGTTATTCAATGATTTTTAAATATCAGTCGTGTTCTGATGGCCTTGTTTCCGATTGGTTGCTGTAGACTCAGTTGTCATACATTTTCTTTGAATTCAAGTTGACTGCCTTGTTCATTTGACCTCTAAATATGTTGTTGATTTTTTCCCCCGAATAACTTGACAAATGAGGTATAATTCAATATGTCTACTGATTACTGATTGATTTGAATGCCATGTATCTGGAAAGTCTTTGGTATTCCGAGAATTTACATGATCTAGAAGTGTAACGATATCTCAGTTGAATTTATAGTTATAGGTAATGTAGAACCCGGTACACAATTACATCGATTTAACTTGCTACATACCAATAATTTACATAATCGCTCGGGCTCTGAACAAGTAATCCGCACCTACCTACATGACTCAGTCCAACATTCGGTATCTTCATGGACTGATGTTACGTCTTGGTTTGACAATCCTCTAGATCTCTTCCTGCATACACCCAAACTAGGCATCATCGTGAGTCGAGATAGATGGTAGGTAAGGATATGTAGTATATGTCCCAACTATCTCAGTCGATGAAGGTTCACTACATCATCAGTTGATTTACCATCCTTACTTATTACTTTACGTTTAACATTATAACTGCTAGCATGGTCGCCTACCTCCATTGTTGTCTATAAGATAACACATTGTGCTTATGATTTTGTTCAGAACGAAACCCGAAGTGCCTAGCTCAGATAACTCAATCAATTCTAAGATGTACACATGATATTGTAGCTTAAGTCTTATTCACGACGTTTATGTCATTGGTATTGTCATCATCATGATTAGTATCAGTGATGAAACCATTTTCTAGCAAAAAATTATTATCAGTATGAGGGTTGTGGAGATTGTTAAGATTTTTGGTTGAGATCATGAATCAATTGATGTTAGACCACCGTTGGAAACCTGGAAGCACTAGGACGAAACGGCCGTCCAGTGCTTCCAGGTTTCCAACGGTGGTCTAACATCAATTGATTCATGATCTCAACCAAAAAATTATTACTTAAATTATTTTGTTAATTTTCTACTTCGGTTTGGGCACCCAGGCAGTATTCCAGACCTCACACAAACATTGTAAACCAAGAGGCATTAAATGGCTGTATCTTCTTTGTGTTAGTTGGTGAAGCCAGTAGGGTCTTGTGGAGAAGAAAAGTACTTGAATGCATCTCACAACTAGCTGGGCGTATTAATTATTTCTACAATTGATTTTGTTGTTTTTGATCAATCTGCTCCTAGTATGAGACTTCCCATAAGTGCATAATCAGTTCCTCACTAAGAAGTAAGCTCACTACTTCCATATCTCGTGACGAGGCTTAATCTTTGAACCATTGAACCAGTATCCGATGGTTTACATGTACAACTTTAATCAGTTGGCGATATTACTTGATCATCTTTCATTCCCTGTAATGGATAACTGGTTCACATCCATCACGGTTGAATGGCAGCCTGTACAAACCCCTATAGTATTCATAACCCTGAAGTAATGAGATTTATTGGCATCTGGACTCAATAGCTCCATGTCGGATAATACATTGGTGTTTGAGGTGAAAGATACTAGGTTCATATCTAAGTATAAACATCAACTTCGGGATGCAAGTATATCTAATTATTGAGTCACAAATAGAATGAAAAATGTGTCCCAGATTCCACTAATGGTCACAGTCTATTTTCAATTCTTTATAACGAAATGGTGATAATGAACCTATCAGCACGGGATTCACAAATTTCAACGAAATTTGATCAGAACTCAGTCTTAAATATCAATAATAGGTTAATCTAAACCCTTATTAATAATTATATGAACATCATTTATTTTTTTAAAAAAGCGTTAGAAAATAGTTTCTTGTTACTTGAAGAGTAACACAATTCTAAGGAAAGATCTCAATCTATGGGATTAATTGTCTCAGCTTAAGTAGTTATTCAATCAGATTAAAATGGATAACACATTCACATTATATCATAGTTGAAGTTCGAAAATGCATTCTATCGGTTGCCTACTACGTAGTTATTCACATTGTCTTAGTTTCGTAATAATTCTACAATTAATGTTAGTCAATCAGTGATGATAACTAACTTTAAAAGTGGAATGCTCGAACTTACTTTTAGTGTCTATCAAATTCTAACCACTAGGGGTGTTAAAATTTCATTGGTAAATATAGTCCATTCATGGCTTTAATAACGCTATAATTTCATAGCTTTACATCACGAATCAATTTTATTTAGATCACTGCTGAAAACCAGAAAACATTAGACAGTTATTTAGTTCTAGCGTAGAACTCCTCCACAATGTGCGTCTATAACCTGACTAGGAACCAAAATAAGGATCTTCAATTCTTGTAGAGAGTTTAATTCTTAGACGATTCAATCATTATTTGGTCGCTCTAACCAAAATCGATTTTTTGCTGTAAACTTTGGAACTCAACCATTTTCACATACCCTTTAAATTTACATTATAATTATTGTAATAATTGCAAAATAATCTAATGATATCATGAACTGATCTATGTTAGACCACTAATGAAATCATATAAGCACTGAACTGCTGTTTCATCCTAGTATGGAACTCCCCAGAAATAAGTATACACGACCCCGCATGTTAAAACCGAACTTAGGACTTTGGTATGGCACGTGAACGTTTAATCTCTCAACTACTGAGTCGGGATCCAACGGTATTAATGTTTAATTTCGGTTGGTTCATGAAATTGTACAACTATCTTCCATTGCTTCTGGTGGGTAACTGCCTCACACCCGATATGGTTTAACTCCACAGTTCACGGCTTTTTGTAAGGATTCTGGAACTTACCTCTCGAAGCTAGTCATGAGTAAACACCTATCAAGGACACTGGAAGATGGTTGAGTGATGTCATGAATCGATCGGAATTAGAAATTAACGATGTTGGATGTCTGACCAGTGGTCTAGAAGTTAGGCGTTTGTTCACGAGACTTAGGGTCCCAGGTTCTTCTCTCACGTGAGAGGTCGTGGATGTACACTACTGCAGAGCCTCATATTAAAACGAAACGACTTTCGAATGTTCCCAGATTTTCAATAGTGGTCAGTTTATGAAATCAATGAAATTCAACAATCTCCACAACATTCTGCCAACAAAACAATTGGTTACCGCCAATTAATTAATAATAAATGTACAGCGAATAATATTGATGGATAAAATATCAATGAAACATTGTGTTTTAGCTAACATAAAACATTTTAAATGTTGAGACTCATTAATTGGCTGATAATTATTTGAACCGATGGGTATATTTTTCTTAAGGAAAGGAATTGCATATGAGTTACATTGCCAATTATACATAGAACTTTCAAGGTACGTACACATAAATCATTGATTATAAAATGTTGATTTTATATGATTATGTATGACTATTTGAAGTTCAACATGAAAACTCTAGTTTAAAACGAATAAAATCTCCACAGCTGATAAATCACTAAGTAGTAACCATTATCATGTTCATCTAATCGATTAAGTTTCTATGTGACCACTTATCTAAGAGACACAAAATAGATAGAATTTAATCAGGGTTAAGTAAATACACTGCTAAGGACTACACAGCAACCAATATTGGTACAAGATGGCATCAAATATATATGCGCCACAATTTTGTGTGAGGGCTGTGATACTGCCCGGGTGTCCAAAACGAAGAAGGTGGTTTCCTTAGGGGGTCATATCCCGAGCCTTTGACCTAAAGGTTAACCCACAAGGAAGTGGAGCATCGTGAGGAGATCCAGTCCCATGGTAGCTGGTGACCGAAAATTGGTTCATACGCCATTTGTTCCTTTTGGATACTGGAGCCCATGTGCACCATTGGTTTGGTTTGGGATCCGGTTAAAGCGCCAGATATTCGCTTTTCGTCCTCTCCATTTCGTAAACAACACCCCCACATTGTCAAGGCAGTGAGTAGGACTTCCCTGGCAGAGGCTGTATACGCGTAGCCGTGTGAGAGCATTTCGAGAGGAAGGGCGGGCCCACTCCACTTTCAGCCATACCAGGGCAATTGGGGGCTTACCGTCACTACTTCTCTTCTTTCTTCGATATGTTTCTTTTCTTTTTTTTCGGTTAAAACTAATGATATAAATAGTCAATAATGCTATACTTTTTCCTTATATATTTAGCTCAAACATTATTATTTCCTGGCCTTACTCCAACAATTTTTAATTTACCTTCATGTTTAACTTGTACAAATACATTAACACCAATCAAATCAGTAACGGATCAATTAATCAATGGAAAAGGTGAACAAGACGAAATAAAAGAAGAACTTTATACAAAGATTACTAAATCAATTTATTTACATCAAAATGAATTGAGTAGTAATATTACTACTAATAATACTACTAATAATAATATTAATGATAATAATCCACCGCCTATTATAAATAACATATTAAATCCGACTGAATTAATTTTGAATTATGCAACAAATTATTATTTACATGGAAATTATCAATCATTCAATAATAAATGTTTAACAGAAGAAGATATTATTGAAGGCGAAGACGGGGAGGATATGAAAAAAGATGAAATTTCTACATGTACTAGTCCTGATGAAACAATATTAAAAGAATTCGATAATGAACTATCTTCAAAACGTATTGGTAAGTCAGTAGTTGGAATTTTTGATTGAGATCATGAACTGATTGATGTTAGACCACCTTTGGAAATCTGGAAGCATTGAACGGCCGTTTCATCCTATTGGGGGAACTCCTCAGCAGTGTGCATCCACGATCTCGCTCCCGGGACTTGAACCCAGGGCCCTCGGTCTCGAGAGAGAATGCTTAACCTACTGGACCACTGAACCGGCATCCAATGGTATTAATGTCTAACATCAACCAATCCACGAAATTGCGCGACCATGTTCCATTGTACTGAGATAGATACCTGTCTCTAATCGACATGGATCAGCTCCACTGGTCACGGCTTCTCAGTGGAACTCCGAGAATTCCTTCACGAAGCTAGTCACTAGTGAGCACATGTTAATTACTAGTATAGGGGAACTTTTCCTAAAGTATATTATAATCGTGTAACATAACAACGGTCTATACTCATCGAGTAAGTAATTAATAACGTAACAAGAAACTGTTTGATTGAATGAAGTAGGATTCAGATTTGATAAAAGGCATCAGTTCTGTCATGATTACAGATGTACTTATATATGGAGTGTCAAGTGACATGAAACATAAGCTTAATCTTTTCTTACAACCACCTACAACAACCTAACATAGATGGTCTGTTAATTTTAATTCCTTTTTATGTTGGTTGTTTGAATCTCCGTATTGATGTTTAGGAATACAATTGATCAGCCTGTCTTTGGCATATGTGTATCCTATGAGGATTAACTCGATATTATTATTAAGTCACAAGTATTTTAAGCAGAGATGGATGATGGTTAGCAAAATAGAATGATAATAGTAATAATAATGACATATGTGTTACATCATATAAGCAACGTATTTGAAATATCTTCGTATAGTATTCAGTATGTCTAAAATCATGAGTGAAAATCTGGGTTTCCTTTGTTTGTTTTACAAGGAAAATCAAAGTGTTAAACATGTCAAATACAGACTTTTTTTCTATTTAAATTGTATCAGGAATCAACATCTGAATGAGGTTCATCCTTTTCAATTTATATTGACAACCACCATAGAGTTGTACTGTTTTGCAACTTTTACAGAGAAAGGTCATAAACTTTTCATAAGCGTTTGAAATAGATTATGAGATTAATAGACATGATGATGTGTTAAAATAAACAAAATAAACAGATAACTTATTGAACTATCTAGATGTCAGGAATAGGTAGCCCATATATCCAAACAGGCCTCATATCGTTTCTATCTTATCAATCCATCTCACTTACTGTACAGTGAATTTATTCATGAAGAGTCTGTAGATGATTAATGTGATTGATTTACTGTATAAAACATTATAACACTGGGACGTATTTAGAAAGAAAAGCCTTTTGCTTTAATATATGTTGTGTGGCAAATTTCCACAATGTTTATATTAGAACATTATCAATAAACCTTGTCGAACTTAAAAATCACCTGAAACGATTATATTCCAATAGGTTTCATTACATTTTGATTGAAAATCATTTTCAAGATCATAAGATCAATTCAATATCACTTTTGACTCGTTCTTATATGTAGAAGTTAAGTGTCAAGAATTTAATGTGATCAACAGAATGACTTATAATATGGAAAACAATTAAGAATCTCAGAGTTATTTGTTACATAATTTTACAGGGTTGATATGTAAGAATAGAATAGAGAAAGTGTACAGTACAAATGTTTAAAATTAAGTATAAATGAATGAGTTTGATAAAGTAATAACATATTTTTGTTATGGAGAGCCAATCAGAATTGGCCTGATGAGAAGACCAGTCGATGACAATCAGAAGTGACCTAAATGATAAGGGCGTTTCATTGTCTAAGAAATGGATCAATTTCCTAAGAATTAGAGTAGTATATATATATGAATGAGTATCTGCAACAATATACTTTCTGGCTCACTTTTGTGTTATCGTTCAATTAGTAAGTAAGGGGAGAGTTAGAACGTAGCATTTCGGGCACCGCTCATCAAAATAATTCTACTCCCTGACTTTCTATGGACAGATATCTGGTATAGTGACATTTTTATTAACCATGTTTGTGGTTGTATATTCGGATTCATTCTAAATTTATCTTTAAAAAAGAATAGGACATAAAAGCTTATGGTTTAGCGTGTTACTTACTTTCAATCATTAGATACCTGTTAACTTGAGCCAATCAAATATAAGTAAGAGATGCTGACGAGTACACGCTATTTCTCAAGATTTTGCTTAACTTTCTGAGATGACATCTATATTCTATTATTTGGAAATATAGCTTAGTTTATTTAAGAGACGTAAACCTTTATTTCTAAATGAGTATATGCATATTTTTTGTTTCGGTTCAGTCAATAAAAGCTTCCTACTAATTATAAGTTTCCTCTCTCAAGTAGCAAGTTTAACTTGGATATAAGAAGTGAATTTACCAGTAGCAGACTCAAATGACCTCAGGACGTAACAACACCACAGACAAATCTCTTCTCATCGTCTTCGATTTAGACATCCCCTCATAAAACAAGTGTACCTTACCTCCAAGTGCATAAAATTATAATCGATTGTTAGGTTACAACTAAATTTTGTGAATATTCAAACAATCAAAACTATTCTTCATCATGTGGAAGACTTCAAAAGTATTTTTCTTATCACCATTGACTTTACAACAATCTACACAATTACATTGTATTAATATTTTATCTTTATTTAGTTTAATTCAGCTATTTGTCTAAACTTCTGGAATATACTATTCTCCCTTGAAACAAATAAGGGAATTAAGTTCACTTGGTATTGTTTACTTATATCTTCCCATTGATGTTTAACACTGCGATTGATCAGTCTGTTATTGGCATATATGCATACTGTGCGTATTGCCTCGATATTGCCTGAAGTCACAAGCATTATAAGCAAAGATGGATAGTAACTAGCAATGGCATTCAGGACGAGTGTTTCGTCTTATTTGAGACTCGTCAGCTGAATGTACCTGCATCTCAGAGTTGATGTTGACTCTGGGACTCGAACTCAGTACCGTTCACTTCAAACGTCATCGTGTTATCCATTTACATACTTTTAATAGTTACTCCACTAATTTTCGTTTAATGCTTTAAAAAATAATTATTTTCATTTATTATTATTTTTTTTATTTCAGATTCATCTGACATGGAACAATTAGACTTAAAAACAACTTCATTATGGTTAACAGAATCCGATATACATTCTATACCAAATCTAGTTGAATCCATTAAAAAATACCATTCAAATGATGAATGTGGTTTTGATGTATGTCGATCATCTAAATTGAAAGAACATTATCATTGTAGTATATGTAATAAGGTAAATTTAATAGTTAGTTTTAATATCAGAAAGAAGATTTTGTGGAGATTGCAGTAATTTACTAGTTAAGTTCATGAGTCGATTAAAGCTAGACTACAATTGAGGTAGTAACTTACTGAATGCACTGTTGAACAATGGCGCAACTTCGTGGACTGGTTGAAGTTGGACATTAGTACTGTTGGATGACGACTCAGTGGCCTAGAGATTAGGCGTTCGCGCGCGAGGTCTAAGGTCGCGGGATTGAGTGCGATGTGTGGGATTGTAGATGCGCACTGCTGAAGAGCCCCATACTAAGACGAAACGACCGTTGAGAACTTCCAGGTTTTCCATGATGGTCTAGCTTTAATCGACTCATGAATTCAACTATTAGGTTAGTTTTAACATTGATTTGCATATTTATTCGTAATGAAAAACGTAATGTGTTCAGAAAAAAGTGAAGAATACTAAATTGTTTAATTCTTTGACAGAAGTTAGAAAAGAAAGGTCGAGAAATTCACAAAATATCAAAGGTGGTTTACACAGATAATACTTTGAAGGAAACAGTTCTCTTTTCAAGTTTTTCATTGTCTATAGTGTATAGTGAAATGGTGATGCAAGTCGAACACGATATAGTTGATGTTTTGTATATTGATAAAAATGTGGAACATACGAAGTCTCTTGAAAGTTGAAAAAGCGAGTAGGAAGCTATAAATGTGGATCATTTTGAAGACGAAGAAAAAAAGATAGTTGTACCATACGTTTTCCAACATAAATTTGTTAATGACTTCAGATTGAATGCTTATTAAACAGTTTCGACTTGTAGTCATGGGTTTTAAGCATATTTACACTTGTTTGTCTCTAAATTACTCAATTTTCTTTCCTTGGTAGGATAGTTATTGTAGACTGATAATGTGTCCAATACTAGGACGAAACAGCTATCAAATGTTTAAAACGATGTTCGTCTATGAAGAAAAAAGCTATTAACAAGTTAGATTAACCTCTAAATTAAAGTAGAATGACATACGAATCAGGAGATGGAATCCAGCTTTGTTCCCTAGATTATAATGAGAAATTGTGATCTAGTATAGAAGTTGTGGAGATTATTAAGTTTTTGATTGAGATCCTGAACCAATTGATGTTAGACCATCACAATTGAAAACCTGGAAGCACTGGACGGCCGTTTCGTCCTATTGTGGGACTCCTCAGCAGTGCGCATCCACGATCCCGCGAGCGGGATTCGAACCCAAGGCCTTCGGTCTCGCGCGCGAACGCTTAACCAACTGGACCACTGAGCCGGTATCCAATGGTGATAGTTTCTAACATCAACCAATCCATGTCGGGTAGAGACAGTTATCTACCTCAGTACAATGGAAGTTGGTCGCGCAATTTCGTGGATTGGTTGATGTTAGAAACTATCACCATTGGATACCGGCTCAGTGGTCCAGTTGATGAAGAGTTCGCGCGTGAGGCCGAAGGCACTGGGTTCGAATCACGCTCGCGGGACCGTGGATGCGCACTGCTGAGGAGTCCCACAATAGGACGAAACGGCCGTCCAGTGCTTCCAGGTTTTCAATTGTGATGGTCTAACATCAATTGGTTCAGGATCTCAATCAAATTGTGATCTTTTAAAATCCAACCATGCTGATACTGATTAAATTAACTATTAATAAATCCAAATAACGAACGAACTAGATCATGAATTGAATGAATATTAGTCACTAGATTCCAACTAAGTAGTCTAAAAATGTTGAGTTTGTTACAAATCCTGATAGTCAAGGAATCGATCTTTAGTGTGTTCATGACAGCATATTGCTAAGGAGTCCCGTACTAAAATAGATCATATGCTTCATGCTTCTTGATTTCTAGTGGTACCCTTAATGATACCAATTCATGCAGTAAACCATTTACATTCTAGGGTTATCATCATACTGTATTGTAACCAAACGGTTTCTCAATTGTTAAATTATTATTATTATTATTATTATTTAGAAAATGTTTAATGATACCTTCTGACCTTTCACAACTACTTTGTATAATATAAAAAACACTTTAGATTATTCTACGTCGTGAAGAAATGATAAGACATGCTAAATGGCATAGAAAACGTGAAGAAAGTATGCAATATGGATTTATGCGTTATAGTCCATGTGATGATTGTACTATTATTTCCTGTCCACATAATGGACGTCAAACACATTATCATTGTATGCAGTCAAATTGTGACAAGGTAAGAATTATTATTATTATTATTATTATTATTATTGGTTTTTATGGGGGAGGGGAGGCAAGATCTTAACACTCTATGTTAGATCCCCGGTTCGGTTATGTATGCACAATGATAAATAGTTTCATATTACAACGATACAACTACCTAGTACTTTCCGATTTTTGATGTTTGCCTAACTAAACTGATTCTATGATATCAATTTACTGATTTCAACGATCATTTTATACTAATAACAAACTTATGTTCGCTAATAGCTAATTTTGAAAGGTGACTACCGAATTTCTAATGTTAAGTCTTGACTAGTGATATTCAGCTTTGTTGAGGGCAGTTTAATTACCCACTAGTAGTTATTAATTATAATTAGACGTATAAACCACTGTATACCGATACTCAATGGTCTAAAAGTTATGTACTCGCCATGAGATCCTTGATCCTGTATTGAATGTCTGATAGGATCATAGATATAGGTTGACAAAGAGTCCCAGTACTTCCTAATTTTCAACAATTGTCCATCTGAAATTAGTCTGTAATGTAGAACTATAAAATTCAACAATATTCAATAATCCCCTCTCACCTTAATTTAAAGTTCATTATTTATTGGTTTGAAAAAAACAAAACGAGCTATTGACTCTGGGATACAATACTCGTATCAATAATTGTAGCCCTCGGAAATTTAACATTGTTTTCTTCCTTTTTTCGTTTGTTTGCTTTGAATTCTTGTTTTCCCCTATAAGTTATTTCTTGTTATTATCTAAATATATTCCCCTCTTATTGTTGAATCAACATTCTCTCTGATCGTTTTGACTGACGATAACAGTCAAAATTCTAACGACAATGTTGATGATGATGATGATTAGCTAGTCGAGTAGAATGTATTTTCTATTTCTGGCTTCATCTTTCTGTTATTATTATTATTCTCTCTGCTTGTAGTTTCACATATTCTTTCCTTCTCTCCTTGTTTTTCTTGGTGCTTTCACGTATATCATTCTTTTCTTTTTCTAATCCTGTCTTCTACTACCACACACACACACACACATTAACAGATTCACATGTTTTACACCTAAAATTTTGATAATAATAATAATAAATGTGCATTATTATTATAACTATTTTATCTAAAATAAACACAAATTCCTTATGTCTAGTGCATGTATGTCTGTTTTTTCGTGTGTGTGTGTGTACATTCATCTGTGCGTCTGTCAATCGGTTCCTGTTGCTGATATTAGTGATAATAATGATGAAATTTGTGTCTGATTACAATTCATATAGTGCTAACAATAAATTTCGGATAAATATATGACAACATATTTAATATATGGCTACCAGTAGAGAGTTTAGGACATGGGTTTGTCGTCTTATTATAGACGTATTACATCTTACAGTTCAATGTTGATATTCACAATGCAACATGAACCTAATATCTTTAACTTCAAAGATGTAACGCAGTATTCACTAAGTAATTGAATTTAAATAATCGTTAATTCGTTCATAATGTAGGAAGATATTCATAAGGGTTTGTAATTTCCTTGAAGTTAATCAGTCTCTTTTGTTATAATATCTGTTCTATACGAATTAGCCTCATAAAGCATTATGCAACAAGTTTTTAGTAAATTTGATATATGACTGGGAATAAAATCGACAAGGTACACTTTATATCATTTAGGAATGAGCAGGTAAATGTACCTGCATCCCAGTGTTCAAACTGAAACTTCAATCTATTTACTTATGAATAACATCAGAGACTGAATGTAACTATATAATCGTTAAATACAGAAATATATTGGATAATATTCATGCCTTAATGTATAATTCTTTAATAGTGGTGTTTAAGGTGTTTAAGCCCATGTGTACCACTGGTTTGGAATCAGGGCTTTCCAACTCCCCTAAGTGGACTGTCTGTGTCCACCGACCCAGTAAAAGTGCTGGACATTCATTTTTCTTCCCTTAAATTTCGTAAATAACACCCGTGCGTCGAGAAGGCAGTGAGTAGGACTTCTGTGGTAGTGGCTGTAAGCACGTGGCCATGTGAGAGGATTTCGAGAGGAATAGTTGACTCTCCCCATTCTCGACCATACCCGGGCATTTTGGGGCAAAGTCAATCATAGATGAACATCATATAGAGTATCAATAAAAGCTATAAAGTACTTGTTATCTGTTTCATCCTAGTATAGGACTTTACTAGTACATAACATGAACTTAATAAGAACAGAACTCTGAACCTTCAGCCTTCGCAATGAATGATTAGACTTCTTAAACCTCTAACTTCAACCAGCCTTTTTCAATATAACTTGTGTAAGCATTCAGACTATAAATCTTCAGTTGAGAAGAATAAGACAATGTATATATTATGTATATATTACAATTTATATCTTAAGAAGTAGTGTTATTTTAGACGATAATTTAAAAAGGAAAAAGTCATTACTTCGAATTAAACTACGATTTAAGCAAGTTCTTTTCTTATTCCAACAAGTATTATATTAACTATCAGTATAGGGTCGTGAAGATTGTTGATTTTCAATTGACATCACAAATGAATGAATATTAAAACACTAATGAAAGCCTGGGAGCACTGGACGGCCGTTTCGTCCAAGTGTGGGACTCCTCAACAGTGCGCATCCACGATCCTGCACGTGTGACTCGAACCCAGGACACTTGGTCTTACGGGCGAACGCTTAAATCACATTAACTAAAGTAAAAGAGTTTGGTGGAAATCGTTGAATTCTATGGTCTACATCTCCAAACATTGAAAATCAGAAAGTCATGCAGTATGGAACTACTAATTAATACACATTCACGAACTCCAAAACTTCATTTAACTAAGGTTTAATTTTTATAGTATAAATCAAATGTTGATGTTAGTTAGACCACCATTGAAACTTGAAAGCACCGATCTATTTCTAGTATATAATTCTCCAGTATTCACGACACCAAACCAAGAATGTTCCGTCTTGGAAGCGAACACTTAATCTCTAGACCACTGACCCATGGTGTACGTGTTTATTGCTTTCAAATTATTCTCGATGACCTATTTAAGATAAAACTACAGATATTGTAAAATTTCCACAAAGCCTCAGATACTAATAATGGTGAATTGTTTTTGTTTTTTTCGTTTGATTTCTTTCTTTTTCCCCCCAACTATAATCAATACGTTACAGATCTTTTCAACTTACACTACAATCATTGATTTGTGGTAACAAATAAATAATTCATTGGAAAATATAGCAATTATGAGTCATATTACAGTAAAGTTAACCTGCGTCCGTGCATCTATGTATGTGTGTGTGTATGGGCTCGGTGTTTCTTTATTTCCTTTCTTTAATATTCTTGTTGTGCCGAGAGTTTACACTTTCGATTTAGATATATTTATTATCAAAAAAAAGAAACCACTGTGATATCATCAGTGAAAAATTTAGAGAAAAAAAGAGGTAAACAACCTATGGTTTTCTTTTTTTTTAGTGTTTACAGAATATTCTAAACCAATCAGGAAGTGAATAAAATAGAGATATAGATTTGTTACATAATGTGTCAGTCACCTTTTTTCTTCTTTTTCTTCTTCTTTTACATTATGTTACCATGCTCCTTGTTTGATTTTCAAAGAAGAGAAAAATCAACTTAGGTCAAAGGTTGTATAGTAAACATTTTGCAAAACTAAATTCAATTTAGGTAGGTAGGTAATTTTCATTAGGGTATTAGAAGAAATCCGAAAAAAATCGTCCGATTGTATTTTATAGGAGTTTTATGATAAGAGTAATATCATTTAGATTACTGATGCATAAGTTGAATGGTTCAACAGTCTCTGCATCAGTAGGCCACAACTAACACAAAGGAAAAAAGACAAGATCCCCATATTCGACACGGAAAACACTAACTCCTTCACCTTTGATGGCGAGACTTTGGAAGATGTGGAGTCGTTCACGTATGTGGGAAGCATCATTGATGAAGAAGAAGGATCGGATGCAGATGTAAACACGAGAATTGGTAAAGCGAAATCCGTATTCCTAAAATTGAAGAACAAATGGAACTCAAAACATTTGTCAACAAATATCAAAATTACAATCTTCAATACGAAAGTCGAGACAGTTCGACTGTACGGATCTGAAACGTGGAGAACTACTACAACTATCATCAAAACAGTACAAGTGTTTATAAATAGTTGTCTAAACAAGATACTCAATGTTTGTTGACCAGATATCATCAGCAACAGCCTTCTGTGGGAGAGGACAGACCAGCTTCCAGATGAAAAGGAAATTAGGAAAAGACGTTGCGAGTGGATAGTACATACATTGAGGAAATCATCAAACTGCATCACGAGGCGAACCCTAACTTGGACTCCTGAAGGGAAGCGGGAAAGAGGAAGGTCAAAGAACACATTAGGTCGGGAAATGGAAGTAGATATGTAAAGGATGAATAACAAGTGGAAAGATCTGTTAAGGATTGCTCAGGATAGGGTTGGATGAAGAATGCTGATGGGTGGCCTACACTCCTCCATGAGGAGTAACAAACGTGAGTAAGCTGGATGGTCCAGATTTCACAAAATCAATTAAGTTACAGTTGTTCCAAACAATCATCTAGATCCATTGGTGAAAAGCCGTCATCAACTACTCAGTGACTGAACTCTATCGATCGTCATCTCTCACTATTCCTTCGAATATTCATCTCAGATATTAACATTTTTAAGTTTGATATTCTTTAGTTTAAAGTATAATATACTTTTCATTATCAATCACTTGAACAAACACTAATCTACAGTCTCTCAATAACTGGCTTTGATGTGTAAAACTATTTATCTTTTAATGTATTTGTGAATATAAATACATAACGATAACAGTAATATAATGACTGTATTACTTAACAAATTTATTGAACTTGGAAAATGTAGGCTAGTGAGGTGATTTGTAAGTTGTAATTGTCACAAACTAATCTCGTTAAGAGTATTAACGAACACCAGAGAGAAATGAACAGCTACTTCATTTTGATATGGCCCTTCTCAATACATCTCA